GGCAGCTCAACCGAAACCGATGTAGTCTCATTCTACAAGACTGTTGATTCTGAAGACAACGAAATCGTTACTTCCACCACCTACACTCTACATGGTGCATCAGTTCCAGCTCCAGTCACCACCACCGTTGTGTCTGGCAGTTCAACCGAAACCGATGTAGTCTCATTCTACAAGACTGTTGATTCTGAAGGCAACGAAATCGTTACTTCCACCACCTACACTCTACATGGTGCATCAGTTCCAGCTCCAATCACCACCACCGTTGTGTCTGGCAGCTCAACCGAAACCGATGTAGTCTCATTCTACAAGACTGTTGATTCTGAAGACAACGAAATCCTTACTTCCACCACCTACATTCTACATGGTGCATCAGTTCCAGCTCCAATCACCACCACCATTGTGTCTGGCAGCTCAACCGAAACCGATGTAGTCTCATTCTACAAGACTGTTGATTCTGAAGGCAACGAAATCGTTACTTCCACCACCTACACTCTACATGGTGCATCAGTTCCAGCTCCAGTCACCACCACCGTTGTGTCTGGCAGCTCAACCGAAACCGATGTAGTCTCATTCTACAAGACTGTTGATTCTGAAGGCAACGAAATCGTTACTTCCACCACCTACACTCTACATGGTGCATCAGTTCCAGCTCCAATCACCACCACCGTTGTGTCTGGCAGCTCAACCGAAACCGATGTAGTCTCATTCTACAAGACTGTTGATTCTGAAGACAACGAAATCGTTACTTCCACCACCTACACTCTACATGGTGCATCAGTTCCAGCTCCAGTCACCACCACCGTTGTGTCTGGCAGTTCAACCGAAACCGATGTAGTCTCATTCTACAAGACTGTTGATTCTGAAGGCAACGAAATCGTTACTTCCACCACCTACACTCTACATGGTGCATCAGTTCCAGCTCCAATCACCACCACCGTTGTGTCTGGCAGCTCAACCGAAACCGATGTAGTCTCATTCTACAAGACTGTTGATTCTGAAGACAACGAAATCCTTACTTCCACCACCTACATTCTACATGGTGCATCAGTTCCAGCTCCAATCACCACCACCATTGTGTCTGGCAGCTCAACCGAAACCGATGTAGTCTCATTCTACAAGACTGTTGATTCTGAAGGCAACGAAATCGTTACTTCCACCACCTACACTCTACATGGTGCATCAGTTCCAGCTCCAGTCACCACCACCGTTGTGTCTGGCAGCTCAACCGAAACCGATGTAGTCTCATTCTACAAGACTGTTGATTCTGAAGGCAACGAAATCGTTACTTCCACCACCTACACTCTACATGGTGCATCAGTTCCAGCTCCAGTCACCACCACCGTTGTGTCTGGCAGCTCAACCGAAACCGATGTAGTCTCATTCTACAAGACTGTTGATTCTGAAGACAACGAAATCGTTACTTCCACCACCTACACTCTACATGGTGCATCAGTTCCAGCTCCAATCACCACCACCATTGTGTCTGGCAGCTCAACTGAAACCGATGTAGTCTCATTCTACAAGACTGTTGATTCTGAAGGCAACGAAATCGTTACTTCCACCACCTACACTCTACATGGTGCATCAGTTCCAGCTCCAGTCACCACCACCGTTGTGTCTGGCAGCTCAACTGAAACCGATGTAGTCTCATTCTACAAGACTGTTGATTCTGAAGGCAACGAAATCGTTACTTCCACCACCTACACTCTACATGGTGCATCAGTTCCAGCTCCAGTCACCACCACCGTTGTGTCTGGCAGCTCAACCGAAACCGATGTAGTCTCATTCTACAAGACTGTTGATTCTGAAGGCAACGAAATCGTTACTTCCACCACCTACACTCTACATGGTGCATCAGTTCCAGCTCCAATCACCACCACCGTTGTGTCTGGCAGCTCAACCGAAACCGATGTAGTCTCATTCTACAAGACTGTTGATTCTGAAGACAACGAAATCGTTACTTCCACCACCTACACTCTACATGGTGCATCAGTTCCATCTGCCTTCACCACCACTGTTGTGTCTGGCAGCTCAACTGAAACCGATGTAGTCTCATTCTACAAGACTGTTGATTCTGAAGGCAACGAAATCGTTACTTCCACCACCTACACTCTACATGGTGCATCAGTTCCAGCTCCAGTCACCACCACCGTTGTGTCTGGCAGCTCAACTGAAACCGATGTAGTCTCATTCTACAAGACTGTTGATTCTGAAGACAACGAAATCGTTACTTCCACCACCTACACTCTACATGGTGCATCAGTTCCAGCTCCAGTCACCACCACCGTTGTGTCTGGCAGCTCAACCGAAACCGATGTAGTCTCATTCTACAAGACTGTTGATTCTGAAGACAACGAAATCGTTACTTCCACCACCTACACTCTACATGGTGCATCAGTTCCATCTGCCTTCACCACCACTGTTGTGTCTGGCAGCTCAACCGAAACCGATGTAGTCTCATTCTACAAGACTGTTGATTCTGAAGACAACGAAATCGTTACTTCCACCACCTACACTCTACATGGTGCATCAGTTCCAGCTCCAATCACCACCACCGTTGTGTCTGGCAGCTCAACTGAAACCGATGTAGTCTCATTCTACAAGACTGTTGATTCTGAAGGCAACGAAATCGTTACTTCCACCACCTACACTCTACATGGTGCATCAGTTCCAGCTCCAGTCACCACCACCGTTGTGTCTGGCAGCTCAACTGAAACCGATGTAGTCTCATTCTACAAGACTGTTGATTCTGAAGGCAACGAAATCGTTACTTCCACCACCTACACTCTACATGGTGCATCAGTTCCAGCTCCAGTCACCACCACCGTTGTGTCTGGCAGCTCAACTGAAACCGATGTAGTCTCATTCTACAAGACTGTTGATTCTGAAGGCAACGAAATCGTTACTTCCACCACCTACACTCTACATGGTGCATCAGTTCCAGCTCCAGTCACCACCACCGTTGTGTCTGGCAGCTCAACTGAAACCGATGTAGTCTCATTCTACAAGACTGTTGATTCTGAAGACAACGAAATCGTTACTTCCACCACCTACACTCTACATGGTGCATCAGTTCCAGCTCCAATCACCACCACCATTGTGTCTGGCAGCTCAACTGAAACCGATGTAGTCTCATTCTACAAGACTGTTGATTCTGAAGGCAACGAAATCGTTACTTCCACCACCTACACTCTACATGGTGCATCAGTTCCAGCTCCAGTCACCACCACCGTTGTGTCTGGCAGCTCAACTGAAACCGATGTAGTCTCATTCTACAAGACTGTTGATTCTGAAGGCAACGAAATCGTTACTTCCACCACCTACACTCTACATGGTGCATCAGTTCCAGCTCCAGTCACCACCACCGTTGTGTCTGGCAGCTCAACTGAAACCGATGTAGTCTCATTCTACAAGACTGTTGATTCTGAAGGCAACGAAATCGTTACTTCCACCACCTACACTCTACATGGTGCATCAGTTCCATCTGCCTTCACCACCACCGTTGTGTCTGGCAGCTCAACCGAAACCGATGTAGTTTCATTCTACAAGACTGTTGATTCTGAAGACAACGAAATCGTTACTTCCACCACCTACACTCTACATGGTGCATCAGTTCCATCTGCCTTCACCACCACCGTTGTGTCTGGCAGCTCAACCGAAACCGATGTAGTTTCATTCTACAAGACTGTTGATTCTGAAGACAACGAAATCGTTACTTCCACCACCTACACTCTACATGGTGCATCAGTTCCATCTGCCTTCACCACCACCGTTGTGTCTGGCAGCTCAACTGAAACCGATGTAGTCTCATTCTACAAGACTGTTGATTCTGAAGGCAACGAAATCGTTACTTCCACCACCTACACTCTACATGGTGCATCAGTTCCAGCTCCAGTCACCACCACCGTTGTGTCTGGCAGCTCAACTGAAACCGATGTAGTCTCATTCTACAAGACTGTTGATTCTGAAGGCAACGAAATCGTTACTTCCACCACCTACACTCTACATGGTGCATCAGTTCCATCTGCCTTCACCACCACCGTTGTGTCTGGCAGCTCAACCGAAACCGATGTAGTCTCATTCTACAAGACTGTTGATTCTGAAGGCAACGAAATCGTTACTTCCACCACCTACACTCTACATGGTGCATCAGTTCCAGCTCCAGTCACCACCACCGTTGTGTCTGGCAGCTCAACTGAAACCGATGTAGTCTCATTCTACAAGACTGTTGATTCTGAAGGCAACGAAATCGTTACTTCCACCACCTACACTCTACATGGTGCATCAGTTCCAGCTCCAGTCACCACCACCGTTGTGTCTGGCAGCTCAACCGAAACCGATGTAGTCTCATTCTACAAGACTGTTGATTCTGAAGGCAACGAAATCGTTACTTCCACCACCTACACTCTACATGGTGCATCAGTTCCAGCTCCAATCACCACCACCATTGTGTCTGGCAGCTCAACCGAAACCGATGTAGTCTCATTCTACAAGACTGTTGATTCTGAAGACAACGAAATCGTTACTTCCACCACTTACACTCTACATGGTGCATCAGTTCCAGCTCCAGTCACCACCACCGTTGTGTCTGGCAGCTCAACTGAAACCGATGTAGTCTCATTCTACAAGACTGTTGATTCTGAAGGCAACGAAATCGTTACTTCCACCACCTACACTCTACATGGTGCATCAGTTCCAGCTCCAATCACCACCACCGTTGTGTCTGGCAGCTCAACTGAAACCGATGTAGTCTCATTCTACAAGACTGTTGATTCTGAAGGCAACGAAATCGTTACTTCCACCACCTACACTCTACATGGTGCATCAGTTCCAGCTCCAGTCACCACCACCGTTGTGTCTGGCAGCTCAACTGAAACCGATGTAGTCTCATTCTACAAGACTGTTGATTCTGAAGGCAACGAAATCGTTACTTCCACCACCTACACTCTACATGGTGCATCAGTTCCATCTGCCTTCACCACCACCGTTGTGTCTGGCAGCTCAACCGAAACCGATGTAGTCTCATTCTACAAGACTGTTGATTCTGAAGACAACGAAATCGTTACTTCCACCACCTACACTCTACATGGTGCATCAGTTCCATCTGCCTTCACCACCACCGTTGTGTCTGGCAGCTCAACCGAAACCGATGTAGTCTCATTCTACAAGACTGTTGATTCTGAAGGCAACGAAATCGTTACTTCCACCACCTACACTCTACATGGTGCATCAGTTCCATCTGCCTTCACCACCACCGTTGTGTCTGGCAGCTCAACTGAAACCGATGTAGTCTCATTCTACAAGACTGTTGATTCTGAAGACAACGAAATCGTTACTTCCACCACCTACACTCTACATGGTGCATCAGTTCCAGCTCCAGTCACCACCACCGTTGTGTCTGGCAGCTCAACTGAAACCGATGTAGTCTCATTCTACAAGACTGTTGATTCTGAAGACAACGAAATCGTTACTTCCACCACCTACACTCTACATGGTGCATCAGTTCCATCTGCCTTCACCACCACCGTTGTGTCTGGCAGCTCAACTGAAACCGATGTAGTCTCATTCTACAAGACTGTTGATTCTGAAGGCAACGAAATCGTTACTTCCACCACCTACACTCTACATGGTGCATCAGTTCCAGCTCCAGTCACCACCACCGTTGTGTCTGGCAGCTCAACCGAAACCGATGTAGTCTCATTCTACAAGACTGTTGATTCTGAAGGCAACGAAATCGTTACTTCCACCACCTACACTCTACATGGTGCATCAGTTCCAGCTCCAGTCACCACCACCGTTGTGTCTGGCAGCTCAACTGAAACCGATGTAGTCTCATTCTACAAGACTGTTGATTCTGAAGACAACGAAATCGTTACTTCCACCACCTACACTCTACATGGTGCATCAGTTCCAGCTCCAGTCACCACCACCGTTGTGTCTGGCAGCTCAACTGAAACCGATGTAGTCTCATTCTACAAGACTGTTGATTCTGAAGGCAACGAAATCGTTACTTCCACCACCTACACTCTACATGGTGCATCAGTTCCAGCTCCAGTCACCACCACCGTTGTGTCTGGCAGCTCAACTGAAACCGATGTAGTCTCATTCTACAAGACTGTTGATTCTGAAGGCAACGAAATCGTTACTTCCACCACCTACACTCTACATGGTGCATCAGTTCCAGCTCCAGTCACCACCACCGTTGTGTCTGGCAGCTCAACCGAAACCGATGTAGTCTCATTCTACAAGACTGTTGATTCTGAAGGCAACGAAATCGTTACTTCCACCACCTACACTCTACATGGTGCATCAGTTCCAGCTCCAGTCACCACCACCGTTGTGTCTGGCAGCTCAACCGAAACCGATGTAGTCTCATTCTACAAGACTGTTGATTCTGAAGACAACGAAATCGTTACTTCCACCACCTACACTCTACATGGTGCATCAGTTCCAGCTCCAGTCACCACCACCGTTGTGTCTGGCAGCTCAACCGAAACCGATGTAGTCTCATTCTACAAGACTGTTGATTCTGAAGGCAACGAAATCGTTACTTCCACCACCTACACTCTACATGGTGCATCAGTTCCAGCTCCAGTCACCACCACCGTTGTGTCTGGCAGCTCAACCGAAACCGATGTAGTCTCATTCTACAAGACTGTTGATTCTGAAGACAACGAAATCGTTACTTCCACCACCTACACTCTACATGGTGCATCAGTTCCATCTGCCTTCACCACCACTGTTGTGTCTGGCAGCTCAACTGAAACCGATGTAGTCTCATTCTACAAGACTGTTGATTCTGAAGGCAACGAAATCGTTACTTCCACCACCTACACTCTACATGGTGCATCAGTTCCAGCTCCAGTCACCACCACCGTTGTGTCTGGCAGCTCAACTGAAACCGATGTAGTCTCATTCTACAAGACTGTTGATTCTGAAGACAACGAAATCGTTACTTCCACCACCTACACTCTACATGGTGCATCAGTTCCAGCTCCAATCACCACCACCATTGTGTCTGGCAGCTCAACCGAAACCGATGTAGTCTCATTCTACAAGACTGTTGATTCTGAAGACAACGAAATCGTTACTTCCACCACCTACACTCTACATGGTGCATCAGTTCCATCTGCCTTCACCACCACCGTTGTGTCTGGCAGCTCAACTGAAACCGATGTAGTCTCATTCTACAAGACTGTTGATTCTGAAGACAACGAAATCGTTACTTCCACCACCTACACTCTACAAGGTGCATCAGTTCCATCTGCCTTCACCACCACCGTTGTGTCTGGCAGCTCAACTGAAACCGATGTAGTCTCATTCTACAAGACT